ATAATTTGCTATTTTTATCAAACATTTAATTAATGCATCTAATATTTTTTATATGCAAATCAAATTATCATTTAATTAGTTGCTAAAATATTGGGTATGCAATATTAATTCAGGAATATCCATGTATTTCCTAAAATGTTGGTATGTAATACGTAAAATAAGATTTTTTAATTTTTTTAAATGTAAAATATTGCAACACGTAAAACTATTCCAGTTATTTTTTTATTTTATTTTACATATAAAATCTAATCAATATTTAATGTATCCTACAAAATTGGATTTAGTTTAATTATCCATACAATTGGTTATAACTTTTTTAGTTGTACTTTTTTTATTTATTTATTTTACACTTTTAAATTAATGAAGCTCTTCGAAAATACCAAATCAAATGATTTATTAAAGTTTTTTTTTTTTTACAATTTTAAATCTATATACCCAGCTTAAAAAACTCATCGCATAGATATGGATGAGTTTAAGAAAAAATTCATAACCCAGCTTATAAAATTCCATGTCCACGAGTAAAAAAATCACATCCCTCTATCGTAACAAGTTTAAAGATAAATAGATATAAGTTTAATTACTACTATAAATCCATTATTTATACAGATTTTTTAAAAATCTAAATTTCACCTGTCTAATTACTAATATTTTAGATACATTTAAATATTATTTGTATAAATTTTTTTTGCACATTTGCTCTCTCTATATATATACATATATGTAGGTTAAATGAAGAATTTTTATACATATTTTCCTTACGGGTAGTTTAGAAAAATTTATTTAGCTTCAAACATTATTTGTGAATAATACAGAATATTTTAGATGCTTTTATAGATGTTATAAAATATTTTAAGTATTTTTAATATTTATATATCACACTTAAAAAGAATATTTTGCCAAAAAAAAACATTAAATACAAAGTGTAAATGTTAATAGAAACAATATTTAGTGTTCGTCTTTGATTTTGTCAAAACAAATCTTATAAAATCGGTGAAGTCAAAATTTGTACGTAAAGTCTATCTATACTAAAAAAAAGGAGATTCAAAATTCATTATCTAATTTCTTCTTTTCCTTATCTAATTCCTTCTTATTATCTAATTGTATATAAATCTGTTCGGATTTTGTTCAATCATCTAATTGTATTTGTATTATATCCCATAAAACTAGTTTAACAAAAAAAATCTCATAACATCCGATAAGTAAAAAAAGTATGTAAAATCTTTACTAAAATAAAAAAAGGCTTCTTTTATTATTTAATTGTATGGAAATCTGTTCTGATTTTATAGTACGTACTACAAATTGTGCACCCGTGTTCAGGAGCTACTTAACGGGCAAGCTATGTGGAAATAACTCATTTAGTGCTTATGTCCGGTGCATATGGTATGTATTTATATTTCACATACTAGAAAATTGTGCACCCCGTGCATCGCACCGACTCTGTACTAATAAATGACCTTAAAATTGTGCATCTCGTGCATCACCCGTGTTCACATTTTGGCCTATTACATGTCACGTACTATATATATCCTGTATATTTTTCTTTATTCATTTATATAATTATAAGACTTGATAAATGACCTTAATTTTGTGCACCCCGTGCATCTTACGGAATCTGTACTAGTGCAAATTGATTAGTAACCTATCAAGGCCAAATTGCTTCAACTATTTATTAATGGTTAATATAAGTGCTTTGTGAAATATTGTTGAAAATTTCAATCATTTTTTTTTTTTTTTTTTTTTTTTTTTTTTTTTGCCCAGGCTCACGAAATTTTTTGGGTTTGCCACTGGCTTGGGCAGTAAGGTCAACTCTCCGGGCAAACTTGGAGAGATCGGAAAGAACACCAAGAGCGAAAGCACTCTGCTGGGCCGACACTAACACTAAGAGACGAAAGCTAGGGGAGAGAATGGGATTAGATACCCCAGTAGTCCTAGCTGTAAACAATAGATACTAGGCACCACCCTTGCATGAAGGGGTGTGGTAGGTTGGTTTCATTTGATATTCTTTACGCGCATTCTATGTACTCAGTTACTGTTCATCATATTCAACCTTGCATTCACTTAGGCATCGGAGGCTATTCGCCGAAAACTCCCGTCCCAGCGTTGAGTTATTGCAGGTTGTAGAATGTAGGGAACTTGATTTTTCTTTGTCCACCTTGCACCATGTGGGCTTCTTGATTTTTCTTTGGCAACCTGCAATCAGATGACTTATGGCTAGGTTTATTACAATTATAACAATTTCCAGAAATTTTTTTCTTGAAAATTTGTTTCTTTGGCCTCATTATTGCCTTTCCATTATTGTCAGCTTTTTTTCTTATTATTTTTGTTTGAGCTTTCGTCATGCTCAACAACATTAGCCTTGGCCAAATGAGGGTTAATCATTTTGTTGTAGTAGCTCTTGTTGTCTTCTTTAGTTCGAAGTCTAACAACGAGCTCTTCAATGGTCATCTCCTTTTTCTTATGTAATAAATAATTTTTGAAATCTTTCCAGCTTGGTGGAAGCTTTGCAATTATGGCAGCCAGCTGGAAAGTTTCATTCACAACCATTCACTCGGAATGGATATCATGCAAGATTATTTGAAGCTCTTGCACTTGACTGATTACAGTCTTCGAGTCAACCATCTTGTAGTCCAGAAACCGGTCTACAAGAAATTTCTTGGCTCCAGCGTCTTCGGTTTTGTATTTTTTATCCAAAGACTCTCACAACTCCTTCGTTGTTTTGATAGAACTGTACACGTTGTACAGTTGTATCAACCAAGCAGTTCATTACATAATTTCTACACAAGAAATCTGAATGAATCCAGGCATCAAGAGCATTAACGGCTTGAATATCAACATTTTCCCCCAACTTTGGAGGATTTTCCGTCAAGAACCACGCAAGGTTCAACGTAGTGAGATAAAATAGCATCTTTTGCTGCCAGCGCTTGGAATTCAAGCCATTAAATTTTTTCAGTTTATCAGCATAATTTACCGGAACACTAACAGAAGGAAAATTAGAATTTGTAGTAGCAACACCGGCATTAGCAACGCCAATATTATTTTGTTCAACAACCATCTTTAATTGGAATCTGTTTTAAGATTGTAGAGAACTTTATCGAGAAAATAAAAATAAGATGGTTAATAAATACCGAGACCAGTGAGAACACAATATCCTTAAAACAGATTCGCCCCGTATGAGCGTCTATTTCTCAGGATACAACGGAAAAACCAAAATAAATTCGGCGAACTGGAACTATGCCTGACCAAAATACTATACTAAAAAAATGGGGAAAGGAATTTTGTTTTCTTCTTTTTGTGTCTCCTCTTCAAAAGAAAACAAGCCCTTTATATAGGCTAAGATAGGCACTTCAATTAATCTATTAACTCAAAATTAATGAAGTTAAGTTAAAGATTAATCTTGTAGCATGAAACAAGTTACAAGTTTTGAGATGAAAGACACAGTTTCAACATGAAAGACACAGTTACAAGTTTTGAGATGAAAAGGAGTAAAGTCCATTTCACTATCACACAGAATGCATGGATTTTAATACTCTCTCATATTTTTTTTAAATGTCATTTTGATTTTATCAACAATTAACAAAATAAATGTCGTTTTGGATTTTTTGTAGATATTTTTTCATTATTACTCTTATTTAGCTAATAACTACATCACGTCTTTTCATATTCCCTTTTTTTTTTTTTTTCAAAACAGTCATCTCTATCTTCATTAAATAAGGTTATTATTGACAAAGAAAATATTCGTAATTAGTGTGCAACTTCTCAAAACGACATATATTAAAAATAGGAGATAGTATTAGTTTTCTGGGTTTTCACTCATTTTACTTAATCCATACGTCATCTTTATCTCATTTTTCACATTGAATCTATTGCATATAATTTTTTCCCCCAAGTACATGGCCCAATATTTGAACGTATGGTGTGGAGAACATAAATATAGAAAAAGGAAAGACAAACACGTTTATTATGAGAATTAAGGCTATCATTATAGTACCTAATCAAAGTCAGACCGGAGGCTATTCATTTCATAATTCTTTATCCTTCAAATAGCTCAAAAAGCCTTGCATATTTATGGGAAATGTTACAGTCTCGTTACGAAATCATTTCGTCGGGATATGTAACTGTTATATTATCATGTAACAATCGTGGATAATTGATCTAACGGTTATAAACCCCAACGGAATGGTTCAGTAACGAGATCGTAGAATCTCCCCATATCTATAGCCGAAGGCTCAACACCATACATATAACATTTTACTTGGTACCAAGTAATACAAATCTAATCCATAATACTGTATAATAAAAAAAAAATCAAATCCTAATTTGTATCACAAGTTCTTGTGCAATATAGCATAACCTTCCGCGTGGGTCAACCGTTATACTCAGCGAATAAAAATACATATTTATACTATAAAATATTATATATTATGTTTAGTACCACATTTTTTAAAGTATATATTGATATTTATTAAAGATAAAAAAATAAAAGTATGTTGGTATAATGGTTAGGTCGAGCTAACAAAGCTTCTCGTATTATTATAGATCGATGATTGATGATTCTTTCTATGAGGTGAATCTAATTCATCAAAAACATGAAAAATAAAAACATTGTTATATACATAAAATAATTAAATTTTATAATGAAAATCAACAATAATGAGGTGTCAGTTTATAATCACACTTTTTTTTTTTTTTTTACTAAAGGGGATCAATACTGGTTCTCCAATTCTTCTCGGGTGACTCGAACTCGGGACATGATGCACGCCGAGCGAATGTATGCGCCACTTCGCTAACCCCTCTTCGTCAGTTTATAATCACACTTATTGAACAATAAATGCACACGGCCACAGCTATATAAGGGCCTCACTGGCCAAACAATTAATATTCAAGTTTCAATTATTGAGTTAAAATAATTATATCCCTCAACTCCTTTTCTACATCTCCCTTGCCAAGAGTAGAAAGCAGCAGCTTCCCTTAATTTCTGTAATAACCAGCACATCACAAAAATGGCTGCACTTCCCGAAACGAAACGAGAGGCCGACGAGACTCTCCTCGACGCATGGGACTATAAGGGCCGTCCGGCCCGCAAATCCTCCTCCGGCGGCTGGACTAGTGCCGCCATGATTCTCGGTATATTTCACTCAATAATTACTTGCGTTGTAAGTATCGTGTAGTTGGTTATGTAATATATTCACCGTGGTGTTTAGGTGTTGAGGCTTGTGAGAGGCTAACAACCCTCGGGATAGCCGTGAACCTCGTGACGTACCTGACCGGGACCATGCATTTGGGAAGCGCCACATCAGCGAACAACGTCACGAACTTCCTTGGCACGTCGTTCATGCTGTGCTTGCTCGGGGGATTCCTTGCCGACACTTATCTCGGGAGGTAATAATTAATGCTTCTCGATATAGTCGTGCCTTGGTTTTATAGAAATGCAAAGATGAAATATAGTCAATTTTGTGAAAGTATGAATAATAGCCATCTTTGTCGTAGAGATGTTAAACGGTCCTTGGCCCGACGGGCCGGCCCGTTTAGCCCGGAAAAAAACAGGGTTAGGGCTTTTTATTGGTAGCCCGTTTAAATCAGGGCTTTTTAGGCCCGGACCGTTTAAACCGAAGCCCGTTAGGGCTAGCCCGAAACCCGCTAGGGTTGGCCCGTTTAACTTGAGTTCGGCGTTGTAAATATTTGTAGCAAGTAATATACTCTTAGATTCATTGTATATTAAAATTTTGCTATTCCACTTCACATATAAGTATGAGCTGTAACGAATTATATTGATTTTGAAATATAATTATTAACAATATTCTTATTGTAACCACACCAAAATATTTAACTCAATCAGAATGACTAATAGGAAACAAATGAGACAAACACCTAACACATGAAACATAGTGATAGAATTTATAGTGATATAATATCGTAAAAATTTCTAAAGCGTACAAAATATAAGTATTGAAATGGTAATTGTACGTAATAATTCAAATATTTTTTTCTTTCGAAATAAAAAATGTTATTTAAGAGTTTGTAGTATGTGTTCATATATGATGTGTAGTTGTATATATAGAGCAGCAAATAATAAATACCGTTGAAAATAATCGTTAATTAGTCGTTGTAATATTTTATAATTTTTTCTTTTTATTTTTCATATTTTTGATACATTATTATTATTATTAATAATATTATTATTAAAGACCGTTTAGCCCGTTTAGCCCGAAGCCCGCTAGGGTTAGGGTTAGGTCCTTTTATTGGTAACCCGTTTAAATCCGGGCTTTTTAGGCCCGGACCGTTTAGCCCGAAGCCCGTTAGGGCTAGCCCGTAACCGCTAGGGCTAGCCCGTTTAACATCTCTACTTTGTCGTGTGCAATGACACAATTACCTTTACTACCAGAAACCATTTCTAGAAACCTGAGATTCGAGAAATAGTTTCTAGACCGTTAACTTTGTTGGCGAATATGTAGCTCGTTAGATTCATTTTCCAGTCTCGATCGTTTTGCGGTGCAGGTACTTAACCGCCGGCATATTCGCCACCGTTCAAGCCTCGGTAAGCGTGAAATTTTCGAAATCCCAATACATCAAATCATATTCTCGACATAATTTTCACGATTTTTACGCTTTAGGGGGTCACGATACTAACGGTCTCGACAATAATCCCGAGCCTCCGGCCGCCGAAATGCGGCGAAGGACATCCCTGCATCCCAGCCAGCGGCAGACAGCTCGGCGTCCTCTACACGGGCCTCTACCTAACGGCCCTCGGCACCGGAGGCATAAAGTCAAGCGTGTCGGGATTCGGGTCGGACCAATTTGACGAGTCGGACCCAACCGAGCGCAAGCGGATGGTCAAGTTCTTCAACTGGTTCTACTTCGGGATAAACATCGGCTCACTCGGGGCCGTGACCGTGCTCGTCTACATCCAGGACAATCTCGGACGAGAGTGGGGCTACGGGATTTGCGCGTGTGCTATCGTTTGTGGTCTCGTGCTCTTCCTCTCCGGCACAAGGAGGTACCGGTTCAAGGAGCTTTCCGGCAGCCCGCTTACTCAGATTGCTGCCGTCTTTGTTGCGGCGTGGAGGAACCGCCGCCTCGACTTGCCGTCCGACCCGTCCCTACTTTACGACGTGGATGATGACGTGGCCGGGAAGAGGAAGCAGAGGTTGCCACACAGCAAGGATTTCCGGTGAGTGGACAGCTATTATTGTTATTAATTAATTTCCTTATGTTTTGGGGCATGTTAACTTCCTTAACGAAAGTACCTGTGACCTGTCAGTCGTTGGATGTTTTGTCTGTTTACGTTAATTTTTGTGATGAATTAAACCTTTAAATTAATATTGACCAGATATTTCATCTATCTTGGAACGTCGTGTAGGATTATTTTGCATAATTTGAGTGGCAGATGCATTATTCATGAAAATGGGACCAGTTTTTGGTCCGATACAAGGGAACTTACCACGACGTTTGTGGTCCATCTCCAATTTTATATATCACATTTTAATCAAGTTGGAATATATTTTCGATATTTTCGGAGCCATAATTCATTTGTTTGTGCCACGTAGGTGAGTTAAATGAGTAACTATTTACCACCGATCATATAAAGGAAAGATGCTACGGTCTATTCCGTCGAGATTTGTAACCGTTAAATCATCATGTAACTGTTGTGGATAGTTGATCTAACAGTTACACAAACATAATGATTCCGTAACGAGACCGTAGAATCTCTATTACAGTACTCTGTTATCAAATACTCATTTACAAACAGCTTATATGACTTGTTGCACTTTCAGCTTTCTGGACAGGGCAGCCATCAAGGACCCTCTACAGAAGCCCGACGAGTCGAACAAGTGGCACCTCTCGACCCTGACCGACGTGGAGGAGGTGAAGCTCGTGATCCGAATGCTCCCGACATGGGCCACCACCATCATGTTCTGGACCGTTTACGCTCAGATGACCACCTTCTCCGTCTCCCAAGCCACCACAATGGACCGCCAAATTGGCTCGAGCTTCAAGATCCCGGGCGCATCCCTCACAGCCTTCTTCGTCCTCGCCATCCTCCTCACCGTCCCCGTTTACGACCGCCTCATATTTCCCGTGTGCCGCCGCCTCGTCAACAACCCCCACGGCCTCACCCCTCTGCAGCGCATTGGTGTCGGCCTCGTCCTCTCCATACTCGCCATGGCCGCGGCCGCCATAACTGAGGTGAAGCGCCTACGAGTCGCGCGGGCCCATGGGTTGACTCGCAACTCGGCGGCGACCGTGCCCATGACCGTCTTTTGGCTGGTCCCGCAATTCTTGCTGGTGGGGTCGGGGGAGGCGTTCACGTACGTGGGCCAGCTGGACTTCTTCCTCCGGGAGTGCCCGCGGGGGATGAAGACCATGAGCACAGGGCTTTTCTTGAGCACGCTTTCGCTCGGTTTTTTCTTAAGCTCGGTGCTGGTGACGGTCGTGCAGAAGGTGACAAGTAGGGAGGCGCCCTGGCTAGCGGACAATCTCAACGATGGGAGGCTTTACGATTTCTATTGGCTACTGATGGCATTAAGCGCATTTAATCTTGTGGTGTTTGTGTGTTGCGCGAGGCGGTACGTGTACAAGGAGAAGAGGCTGGCGGACGAGGGGGTCGAGATGGAGGAGGCGATCGTCTACCATTGAGTTGTGAGGTGTGTTTTATCAATGATAGGATTTAATGGATGGATGACTGGATGTATGTATAAAGGGGATATATGAAGAGGATCATCACCATGAAAGACGAGTAACTCCTTTTTCTTTTTTCTTTTTCTTTTTTCCTTGTTGTATACTAAAATTGCAAAAGCAATTATGGAAGTTGTTTGGATAATAAGTTTTTGAAAATGTAAGTATAAATTTGCAATTCTATATGTTGGAATTTATACGTATGAACCTAGCGAACACACAATGGAATTTATAGTTTTCTTAACGACAACGAAGATCCATCTATAAAAATTCGATATGACTTTAGATCGCGTGAACGATAAACAAAAAACTTACAATTGTTTGTAAGTTTTGTCTCGGCTATGGTATTCACATATATAAGTGCTCTGATGCCTGTAGGCATGGTAATGGGGCAGGTCGGGTCGGGTAGTTCAATACTCGCCTCGGACCTGCCCCGCGACACTAGGCCTACGCCTCGACCTGGCCCGTGACCCGGGTCCAAGAAGGTCGCCCCGAGACCTGCCCCACGCAGGGGCGGTCCGCCCTGCCCTACCCCGCCCTTTTTTTTTTTGGCTAAAATGGCCTGGCCCTTGTGCTGCCCCATTTTTTTCATACATAAACCCAAAAAGTATGATTCAAACATCATTAAATCTCAATAGATATATAAAATTAGACAAAGCCAATGTTGGGTGGTCGTCTGGCTTGACTCGCCGGGCCCGGGCTGGCTCCGAATAGTCCCGAACAGCTTCTGGTTCGTCCCGGCAACACGCAGTAGGCCTCGGCAGCAACTAGTAAGCCCCAGACAACACCTATTAGAGCCCGAACAACAACCTTTTGTTCCCGGACAGCACCTTGTTCGAGCCCGAACTTATCCCGGTTTGTTCGCTTCAAGCCGAATCCAGAAATACACAATAGATGATCAAATTTCAGCAAATCAAAAAAAGTAAACAAATTGAAGATGCTGAAAAATAAATAAAGCATAATAGAGGAACGAATATGTTTGTTATGTTTTTGTGCTTATTTTTATGTGTTTATATGTGTGTTTGAGTCGGTTTTAGGTTCGTTTTGGTGTTGACCGGTCCATTTTGTCGTATTTTGTGTGATTTTATGTTTTATCTTTTATTTTGTATCTTGGCGTACTTGTCCGTGCTTTTGATATATTTACAGGTGTATTTCGAGGGTGAAAAGAAAGTCGAACCAATTTCCTAAGAAGTCCAAGAGGTTTCGAGCCATCCGAACGAACAAGTTCCGGTCAAGTCCTTAGTCGAGCCCGGACGCGTGCTGCCCAACACTCGCGACCACGCAGCCAAAGCCGCGCGCTCGCGGATGCACAACACGCCAGCCGCTCGCGCATGCCATCACCCGCACGCCTGCTGCCACGCGCACGTCCGCGCCCGTCAACCAACTCGCGACATCGCGCAATCCATAGCGTGCTCGAGAGTGCCGCGTTGCTGAAGCCGAACACCCGCTCGCGCGCTCGCGGAATAA